CAGTTATATCATCTCTATGCATGCTACATGCACTGGTGGATCCAATAATACTTTAAACAGCACCATTGGCCGAAGGAGAAATGCTTGTAGCATAGGTAGACAAAGTAAAGTAGGTGAGATTTTAGGTTCTCACGGCGATGAGTACAAAGATGATTGTAGATTGGTAGAAGTTAATCGACGTTTCATCGATCTAATAATGGAGGCAGCAAGCACTTCTGAAACGTCGGTTAACTTCAATCAGACTACAAGGAGATCAAACCCAGAAGACAGCCATCTTAGTTTAATTGAAATTTACCGACGTTTCAAAAGTATTTGTTGCCTCCACCATCAGGGCGATAGTCAGAGAAGCTCCACAATTTGTGTTTCTCACCTAATATTATCAGGATGATCAAATCAGGGATCATTAGGTGGGCATGGCATGTAGCACGCAAAATATATATCATAAATGAGTACAAACATTTTGATTGGAAATCCTGAAGGGAAAATTCCACTCTCAAGGCTTAAGCCAAGACCGGAGGATGTTACTAAATTGGATCTTAGGGGAGTTGGGTTTGAGGTGTGGATTGGATTCGAATAACTCGGGATAGGGAACAGTGATTGGTTTTCGTAAATACTGTATTGAACTTTCCTGTTCCATTAATGAAGGCGAATTTCTTGACTAGATGAGTACACTGTTACCTTCTAAGACGGACACAGCTAGTTAGTTGTCATTGGAGTTTGTCAGTGCCCTACGCATGTTCGTGACGCAGAAACAACTATGACTTTAACACTCACCAAATAAATGTGATGATTAGAGTTTTTCGGCGCAGGTTCGGGGTCTTGAATAGATCCAGGACGCCATAATTACGACGCCTCTCCTTCTGCTTCACGTAGCGTTCAACCTGGTACTTGCGCTGAAAGTAGAAGCAGTAGGTTCCTCTGAAATGACAATTCATTAATGAAATAAATGCCACATTGGAACTATAAGCAAGTTGAAATGAATTTAGTGATCTTATGATTATAAACGGATATGTCAGATTTCTCGCGGCGTTATATATGAATTTGGCTGTCTTCTGGGCCGTGCAGTCTGGTGGAATTATATCACCGTTTCAAAGATCCTTACTGCCTCCATCATCAGGCGATCGCTTCCATATTAAACGGCACAACACCCGAGAAGACGTCATCTTCATAAACGTATCTGATTGATAACAAATTTATGTAGATATAAAGCAGGGACTTTATTAGTTCGATACGGATAACAACTAAAATTTCAAAACACCTTACAGCGTGAACTGCCAATACATCTCAATAAATAGAATGTAGTTTAATACTATATCATTTTAATTATACAAAGAATTATATCACTAAATTATATAATTGTCAATTAATTATTCTGGTAGTTCCGCTTTAATTATTTAAATGTTGAAGTAATGTGGTCGTCTTACGTTTTTTCTCAGACTTTCTAGTAATGCATTAGTAGAAATAGTAACAACGCACATCACAGAGGTATCAATAGTAGTACAGAGCGTTCCCTAACAAAGTTAAACGTAAATGTCTCCTGTGGGCTCCCGCTTGGTACTCAATGATTCACCGCCAAGCGCTACAAAGTCTTTTCGGAACTCGTCAAGTATAGCTCCAAGAAAATAAATTATCTACCGCAAAAAAGAGAGTATCCCGGGAGCCACAATTGACAGTTGCGTTCAACTTTATCAGTAAACGCATTCTAGTAGCAGTAGTAGTTGATTGATTTGAGCTGTAAACTACACGTGATCTCTCTTTCTGGACTTCTGGTTACCTGCAATGCGCAGAGCACAATAGATGTAGACTACAGAACTTACGGAAATCAACTTCGTATGACGAGCGATGTCTTTCATTGAACTCCTCCGACATTAAAAGTCGCATAATTTTATAGGTCTTTTGTCAAATATAATCACTGACTCCCTCACCTTGAGCTGTACCATATAGTTGGCAGGGAGAGATTTGCCGTTAACTCGCGCCATCTTTTTCAAGATTTTCTCAGCTTCTTCGAATCTCCCGCGAGCCAGCAGCCATCTGGGTGACTCGGGAAGTACCCTAAGTACAAGAAAATAGATGATCATGTTCACGCAGTTGAAAGATTCTTGAGGTCGGTCTTTTGGTGAATCTTTAATTATGGTCCCCTATCTTTGATAGAAAAACATATGTAAAGACAAAGTCGATAGATAAATATTCCAACGGCAAAAGAATGGGAAAAAGCTTTACGACATCAGACCGCACAGATGTGAAGCCTGGTCTTACATGCTAGTTGAAGACCACAGAGGTGTTTAACCGTGATTTCTGCTCCCACAATGTTGGGTTTTATTTACTTTATGGTTTAACAGACAAAACATTTGATGATAGGTAAAAAATATTCAAGAATAAAACTGTCTACAACTGAAGTACACAGAAAAAATCTTCTGGGTTGCTCCGCCGTGTAGTCTGGTAGAATTTTACCGACGTTTCAGAGATCCTTGCTGCCTCCATCTTCCTGGGTGGTAAGGACCTCTGAAACGTCGATAAACGTCTACCAGATTACACGGCGCAGAAACCCAGACGACAGGCTATCTTCAGACTAACCGCTGTGAAAACCACAAATCCTACAACGGGACTTGACAATGGTAATTTTGTCGGCTAAATATCCCGCACTGAACTGCCCTGAGTTTGAACCTAAGGTTTTAACGTTGAAAACAGACGTCTGCTGCCTGAACATCTAAGTTACCTGAATGCCACATTCCTTAACGCAAATGAGGCAACTGTGCTGCATATTTTATTTGGACTCTAATCGGGCGATTTTGTGCTGTGCACTGTTCCTGACATGTGATTACTCGCTGTGATATAAAAGTTCACACGAAGAAAAAATGTGGACTTCTGTGAAAAAAGTTCGCGTTGTAAATTTTCCAAACGAAAGAAACATTATTTTTAACTTGTGTACTGATTCAATATTTAAAGAAAGCTCCACGAAATACGTTTGCTATTGTGGCGAACAGATGAAGGGGGTTTGTGGTTTATTTAAAATGGCTGCCGATAACACAGTTTATGTAGCATCGAATAATAACATTATTAACGGATAATGAATTTGGAAGTATAAGGAAGGAAGATGTGTCCTAATTTAAGGTACTAACCCGAAATTTCCTGGTGGTACTGAAAAAAGAACATCTAAAAAGATACAAGTTTTCTGTCTCCCAGTCAAGATCAGACTAAAGAACCTCAAGAATACAAAATGGGCGTGATTACCACTCGGCTCAGGGACGATAAAATCGAGTGGGAATGAGGAAATGAATTCTCGGCTCAGGGACGATAAAATCGAGTGTGAATGAGGAAATGCATGCAAAATTTTAGATTTAACATTGGAAGGGAGACCACTCAGGAGACCAACATGTAGGTGTGAGGATAATATTAAAAATTCCCAGGTGTACCAGGGTTATTTTTGTCCAGATTAGAGACTGTCTGCTTCTCAAGAAGGTCTCTTTCACGGGGTCCGATGTCGACTTCTTCAGATTTAATTGCATACTGAGAAATTCCTTAATCAAAGTTTAGGAATCAAAAATCAAAATAACTCCCTGGTGCAGGGTTCTCTGAACTGCGGCAGTTACCAAGGTGATCAAGAAATCCTTTACACCTAAAGAACTTGAAAATGGATGTTAACCAGTTTAGTCCAATCCACACCTTCAAGACATCAATCTAAGACTCAACAACGATTAGGTCATGACCTCAAATTTTCCACTTGGCTTTAAACGGTTAAAAGAGACGCCAATTATTATAAACAGTAACAGAACTAGCGGATATTTATATTTTAACAAGCGCACATTTTAATAGCCTATTTTATTAGAATTTATTCAGAGCAAGCCATTAACAATGCACACAAAATGGAGGGTTTGGGACTAAGAACAAACTTCTGGTCTATTCTGGTTATGTTAATTTATTGAGCAGAAACTCGAGTACCGCAAAGAATACCAAAGACAATATTAAATTACAGCAGAGACACTGGTTTAAATATAGAGGCTGAGAATACGCAGTAGCTATACAGAATGTAAATAAATTATCTTAACAAATTTGCTCATTAATAAAACCTTTATGAAAATACATAGACACACTATCTGAGTGTCATCTGCGAAGTTAACTCTCAAAGTCTGTTCTGAACATTACACTCATTCAACATGGGCACCATTTGTCACACGTACAATGCCTAAAACGATATTTAAGCTCCATCTATATACGCTACAGCATGTTAACTTAAACTGTTGCAATTCTGTTCTTCAAATCTCGTCAACAGACTGCACAGAAATACAATAAATTGATCATTCGAAAAAAGATCAATAGTTCAAATATTCGCGAAAGATGGGAACATATAAAAATAATTCTCAAGAGGAAGTAAAGACCAGGTTAATTTTGAATAATACTTTTATGTCATGTTTGTGTCTAAAATCGTAAATCTTAACATTTAAAAAGTCTTATTTTTACATGCTGTTTTGTATAAGTATGAAACTTTGTCGCTCAACCCATGGGAAAAACACAGATTGAGGCCTTTAGAGGACAACGGGTCGAGAAGAATATATGGACCGAAGATAGGGAGAGGGAGCTTTGGAATAAAACGTCGTCACTACGAAATAAAACAGAACATCTTATCACAGCGGTAACTGTCCTTAGAATGTTTTATATGTAACCGGCCGTATCGTAGCCATTCTGAATGAGATTTCCGTGATTTTCCACAATTTCACCGCTCAAACCCTCAGACAGTGCTGTGATATAAACCATGGAGAATTTCCAACAGTCCTCTTTGAATATATCATTCATTCACATGTCCATATAAAACTCATCATTTAATACTGTCATAAAATAACAGCAGATCGAACCAACTGACAGTATAACCGACTGACATCTGCGCAGTAATACATTGTACATTGTTCTTAGTTTCTGAGTAGAGAGTTTCGAGGTGTCAGGATAAACTCGAATGTCAACTGTCGTTTCGGACCTCGTAATGGAATTGTTTGACGTACTTGTAGAACGAGACCACCGACACAGTCAGCATGTGTCCGCTGAGTATCAAGGAGCGAGTCTGCAGTTATATCGAGCTGACAGTCTGACATCTGAACTCGACATGCCATCAGAACATGGTGCATGTGATACTCTAATACCTGGATGTAACATCTATGATAACATTTTGTATTAAAAACCACCGAAAGTTCCATTTGTCGACCGGGTTTCTGTAATAGAAGGTTAAATAATGAGTATCAAATCTAAAACTTCTTGACGATGGTGAAGAGTTAATTGAATAAAAATTTTCTTGGATATTATCCATCGTCTAGTAAAATATAAAATATAAAACGTAAAACGACGTTTCGGAGATAGGGATTAGCTCTATCCAGTGGGCCCAACTGTGTAGGAACCTGAAGACGGAGATAGAGTCCCATCTCCGAAACGTCGTTTTACGTTTTATATTTTATATTTTACTAGACGATGGATAATATCCAAGAAAATTTTTATTCAATTAAATAATGAGACTGCTCATCTATTACGGCAAAATTTATTAATACACGCAATGCATTACTATTAACTAATTTTATTTTATTTATTTATCACCATGACGCAGCAAAGCGACTGCTGGGGATAGAAATCCCAGCAAAATGCATTGCACCCTTTCAGACGAGAGCCGCTGAACCTGTGTGAGCGGCTCATGAGCCGCTA